ATGTTATATACCTCTATATACACTTTATATTCACCTTTTATATCAGTAGATGTGTTTTTATAAGAATTTTTGTATACTGGTTTGCAGCCTTTGACTGTTCATACAAGTGTTTTTTTATTCCATTCTTTTCATTTTTTTCATATTTTTATTTTTGATTGCCAGATGGAATAATTCACTCGTTTACACCATTTTCCAACCAGAATTTATAACATTTATTTTTCACAATATAACTTGTTTCCACACGACAAACTATATTTATTTATTTATATATACTACATATATTTTCGATATTCACAATCACCATTGTTAACCCAATATTTAATATTTATTTATGAACACACTTAGTTCCTCTTTTCGACATGTATTTCAGTATACAGCCGCAATAAGGATTTGATCACTGGCACTGTATTTAGTTTGTGATATTTCACATTTCCACACAATTTAGAGTACAATGAATGGTACTTTTGTGAGCCAGTATGGTCCACATGACTATGATATTCCCCAACACAGCCACGGCCACCATGGAGCCATAAGCCAGAGACCACAGTGCTATGCGCCTGGGAGGCTGGACGAAGCGGTGAGAGACCGGGGCGCTCACATTAGCCTGGGTGACGTTCTTTGGCCAGAGCAATCCTTCCCCAAGAGGAGCAAAAATGCCCACCCCTCCTTCAGCTGTCACATTGGTCGGAGTGGATGTCATCTCTGGGTCCCCACAAGCTTGCAATGCAACCTGCTGCTCCCCAAGTTTCAGCAGAGGAATGCACAGTGGATCGCGATGTGGAGTCAAGTTGAAGGCATGACGGGGTCTAGAATGTGTTAAGTTCAAACACCACAATCAATGTGAAGGGAGATGTGCACGGATCGGAAACATCAACTTCAGGCTTAAGATGCCCATAAACTGCACGATTCTCGTACGAAAAACGCGGGAAATCCCGCGATCGTACGAGAATCGTGCAGTGTATGGAAGGCGTGCAACCCTTTCTACTGTACGGTCGCACGTCTTCCGTCGAACCAGCAGGCTAGAAAATCCGCCGGGAATTGTACGATTCTCGGCGAGTTAGTGGCCTGCTGGTTCGACAACTGCCACACAGCCCGTTTGCAGTCATCTTAAGCCCGCCCCTCATTGCAGTCATCGTAAGCCCGCCTCTCAGGGGGGTGGGCTTGCGATGATCGAGAGTACGATCTGCCTGTCCAAGATGGGCAGATCGTACATTTTTTTAATCACTTTACAACCATCGCAAGACTAAGGTCTTGCAATGGTTGTACAGTGTATGGCCACCTTAAGTTCCTTCCTCTCAGCAGAGAGCAAGTCAAGGCAGAGAGAAGCAGCTGGTGCGAGTCTTTAATAGAACGAGTTCCTCCAATAAGAGATGTCCAGTTCATGAAAGAATCGTTCTTTCAAATCGATTCTATTCAGTGAACTGGTGGAGTCGATTCAGCTGAGTGAGCTGATCCGTTTGAAGCAGCTCAGTGAGATGTGTCAGTGTGTGAGGTTTAGCAGAGACTCTACAGGTCTTGTAACATGATACTATAGTGAAAGCCATGCGTCTGCCAGCCCCTCCTTCCAGCCCACCCCTGCAACCAATCACATCTCTGAGTCACAGTACACGGAGTCTAAGAATCGAATGAGTCTACTAGTTAAAAGAATCTAATGATTCTACTTAGTTAGTAGACTCATTCGAATTCTTTGAGTTAAAGAATCATGAGTCATCAGAGGAGTTACTGAGTTAAAAGAATTGTGAGTCCCCACCAGTAGAACAATACACTGACTCAATGAGCAGGTTGCAGCAGTGATAAGGGACAGAAAACCAGGGACAGTCAGCAGGGTGATTTACACATTTACAAAGAAAAAAAAAATGTTTTTTTTTAAATAAACTAGTTTTTATTTATTTTATTTTTCACTTAACATATTTTTTCACTTACATTTATTGATAGCGTTAGGATCAATGTTCCCCAGGAGCTGCCTGACACCCTTCTCTGAATCAGAGTCCTCTGATTCGGATCTTCTATGAAGGTTCAGAAAGCTCCTGAGCTTCGGTTCACTTGCTTTTCAGCCGACTCAGAAAGTGAATCGAAGATTCGATTTATAAATCGGTTCTTTTGAATGAACCGATTCATTTAAAAGATCCGAACTTCCCATTTCTACCTCCAATGTCTAGGAAAATGTCTGTGACATCATCCAGGGAGGGGGAGCAATGACACCGAGCCAAGCATCTGTAAGTGTCACCTCCACTTAGTGCTCCTACACTCCCCCCAGCCTGGGAACAGGAAGGCTTAGTGCTGAATTCAATGACACCGAACCAAGCATTTGTGTCACCTCCACTGAGTGCTCCTACACCCCCTCCCCCAGCCTGGGAACAGGTAGGCTTAGTGCTGAATGCAATGACACCGAGACAAGCATCTATAAGTGGCACGTCCACTGAGTGCTCCTACACCTCCCCAGCCTGGGAACAGGTAGGCTTAGTGCTTAATGCAATGACACCGAGACAAGCATCTGTGCCACCTCCACTGAGTGCTCTTACACCCCCCTCCCAGCCTGGGAACAGGTAGGCTTAGTGCTGAATGCAATGACACCGAGACAAGCATTTGTAAGTTTCACCTCCACTAAGTGCTCCTACACCTCCCCAGCCTGGGAACAGGTAGGCTTATTGGTGAATTCAATGACACCGAACCAAGCACCTGTGTCACCTTCACTGAATGCTCCTACACACCCAGCCTGGGAACAGGTAGGCTTGGTGCTGAATGCAATGACACCGAGCCAAGCATCTGTAAGTGTCACCTCCACTGAGTGCTCCTAGACTCCCCCAGCCTGGGAACAGATAGGCTTAGTGCTGAATGCAATGTCACCAAACCAAGCATCTGTGTCACCTCCACTGAGTGCTCCTACACTCCTCCAGCCTGGGAACAGATAGGCTTAGTGCTGAATGCAATATCCCCGAGCCAAGCATGTGTGTAAGTGAAACCTCCACTAAGTGCTCATACACTCCCTCCAGCCTGGGAACAGATAGGCTTATTGCTGCATGCAATGACACCGAGCCAAGCATGTGTGTAAGTGTCACCCCCACTGAGTGCTCCTACACCTCCCCAGCCTGGGAACAGGAAGGCTTAGTGCTGCATGCAATGACACCGAGCCAAGCATGTGTGTAAGTGTCACCCCCACTGAGTGCTCCTACACCTCCCCAGCCTGGGAACAGGAAGGCTTAGTGCTGCATGCAATGACACCGAGCCAAGCATCTGTAAGTGTCACCTCCACTGATGCTTCTCAACTTGTTCATCGATCTGTCTCCAGTCTCTGTAGGGCCGGGAGGTCCATGGTGCTGAAATGCTCATTCAGGAGACCGAGTACTGAATATGCATGCCTGCAACTCTGTGCACATGCTTGCCTAGAAACTCTCTGCTCTGGTACTGACACTCCTCTCATTCAACACTTCGATTAGAAGAAATGAGGGATAGCTAATGAAGATATAGAGGCTGATTTACTAAAGGAGTTCAGAACCTTCACTTACAGTGACACCTTCAGAACCTTCACTTAAAGTACTTAAAAGAAGAACTCCAGGAAATTGTTTTATTAAACGTTGCAGTAGGGCTAACTTTTTTTTTTTTTTTACCTAGACAAAAACGAGCACTTAACCCTTGCAAGGGTTAATAAAAAAGTTTTCTGGAGTCTTTAACTATTAACAAAAATGTAGCGTATTTATGAAGGCTGGTGTGCAACTCCAGCCTTCCCGCTGTTGTGGCATTGCAAGACTGACAGAGGAAGACGCCTGCTGGGATTTGTAGCTAAATCACAGCTGGAGGGTTGGAGTTGCCCACCCCTGGTGTAGATCCTCAAATAATCTTTGAATTCGTGCAGACATTGTCCTTCCTTCTAGAGTGTAACCACCACTCCAAGCTCACTCCTATGATAGACTACAATTTCACATTTAGTTAGCTAATTTGTATTAAAGTTGTAGTCTATCATAGAAGCGAGCTTGGAGGGGTGGCTACTTTATAACACACACAGGCATCACGGGGAACAAAAGTAGCCACCCTCCAGAAGGAAAGGCAGTGTGAGCATTCAGCACCAATTCAGAGATGATTTGAAGATTTACAGCTGAGTGATACATAGATAAGTAAGATACATCTTTGTTAATAGTTAAGGTACTTGAATGTTTTTAACTCCTGAGTTTAGTGTCACTTTAATAAATTTTACAGTGACTTAGTGGTTAGCACTTCTACCTTGCAGCACTGAGGGTCCCCCATTTGGATCACGATCAGGACACTATCTGCATGGAACTTTAATTTTCTCTCTATGCTTGAGTGGATTTCGTCCCCCAACTTTCAAAGACATGCTAAAAGGTTAATTGGCTCTTGTCTAAATTGGTCCTACTATGTGTATGTGTGTGAGGTTAGGTGCCTTAGAATTAGATTGTACGCTCCTTGAGAGCGGGGACTGTTGTAAATGTGCAGTAAGTAAACCACTTCATAAGTTGTTGGTGCTGTATAAATACCTAAAATAATTGTGTAAATATATAAAAAAGAGGAGTTCCACCTTCTACCTAAGCACTTTGGTGCTCTTCTTATGCTGTAATCACATATTTACAAGTCCAAAGGATCCAGCACTTCCACTCTTATTCTGATGTTCTCCCACCGGTCCTGTCCCATACCACCATCTCCCTTGGTGACGTCATGGGGAGGTGGCTTTCCCTTCTTAGTTCTTCAGGAAATAGACCCAGCACCAGATCTCTGTCTGCACATGGGTGAGATGTGTTTGCAGGTCTATTTACATACAGATCTATTAATGGTGGCTAAGAATGCCTCCTGGGATATACAACGACACAGGATGCATTACTTTGTTGTCTGCACATGTGTGAGATCTTTTGCTGGCTCTTTTTACATACTGGTATATCTTTTGCTGGCTCTTTTTACATACTGGTACAGTGCCTCCTGCAATATGTGACGTCACAGGAGGCACTACTATTCTCCACTCAAAGAACTGTATGTAAATAGACATGATGCCAAATATCTGTCTGTACATGGGTGAGATCTGTGTCAGATCTTTTTCCATGAAAGGAAAAGATTCTCCTCCTGCATCCTCCAGGGATATGTGATGTCAGTATCCCAGGAGGCTGCAGGAGGATAATTAAATGCCTAGGTAAGAATGATACAAAAAAAGAAACAAAACAGGTATATTAAAAAAGTAAGAATATTCAGCTCTGTTGAAAGGGGGGGTAGGAGGGTTACAATGGTGGAAACTTTAAAATTATGGTGAATGTACACTTTAACTGTTCACTTACGTAAAAAAGTACAGTGGCTCAGTGGTTAGCATTCCTGCCTTGTGGTATCGGAGTCCTTGGTTTAAATCCCAGCCAGAACACTGCTGTATGGAGTACGTATTGCATATTTTATATATTATTCATTCACATCAGTCCCTGTTCAAAATGTGAAAGTGCTGCATGAATTGATGGCACTATATTAATACTTATAATAAATGAACCAGAAGTTGGTTTTAACAGGATTGCAAAATTGAAGTGAATTTTACGCAATTTCTTCAGCAAAGTAAATAAGCCCAAATGGAGTCCATTTAGATGAGTAGTGGCATGTACTTCCATCTTCATCTGTGCTCAATTGGCTTGGGAAATGGGATTGATAAAGCCACTACATTAGAATCCCTTGACGATACCTATAGAAATACATTACCTACACTAATGCATGAACTTAAAAGGGTCAGTTCACCCTTGGCAGATGACTGAGATTCAAACCACTTGACAGAAACATTTTAGGATTCTGATATCATTTTACCATTTAGGGAAGGAAATCTTTGCCT